TTATCAAAGCTTAATGAAATTGATATTTTTAAAGATTCTCTGATAGCAACTTGTTATCAAGGAATTTTGAAAAATATGTAACTGCATCAAATTCAAATCAAAATTGCATCTAACAAGTTTTTTTTCAAATGGCATATTTCTGTATATCATTATATTTTTATAATACATTTTACCCTTTCAACTTCTCTTTTATCCCTTTACATTAGTGAGTTAGCTTGTTAAGTTGCAGGTGGGAGTTGAGGCGCCAAGCCCCCTATATGCACATTAAACAAGCAATTCACTGTAGTATCAAATATATATATTTGCATACTGCAGACCTCTAGCGTTTCTGTTTCATGGCTTGTCCATGCTTGGCTTACTCCAGTAATTTTAATTGATGTAAAGTAAGCTTGTTCATTGTTGTATCATGATAAGTCCAACTTTATCCTCCTAGCCGTCTTGTTCTTAGATTCAAAATAGCAAATAAATTACAATGCAATTATGAGGTATAAATTCAGATGTGTTAGTAAAACCTTCTCAGTTTGTCTACCGCCTACACAAACGGAGCCATCTTTGACTCATGCGTGTTGCTACTAGTGAATACTGCAAGCAACAAACAGTTCACAAGGTGTTGATGTAGACTATCTGCAAGCTTCAAGACAGATCTGCGTCAGCAATTTTAAACAGTGCAGCAGAGTTGATATCTGAACCACCATCTGGGCCAGATGGCTGTTAACGTGTCCTGTCCGTGCAATCAGGAGCGTCCACTTCGAAGGAGGGTGGCATTCACATGTTTTCGTATGATCATTTTCTTCTACGTTGAGATTGCACCATCAAAGCATAGTCACCTAAACATCCATTTCTTTCGACCTTTCCATGTCACTCTTGTGGTCACGAGCTCGTTCGTATTCAGTATTTTTATGTTTTATATTTTGAAAAGCCACCGTTGTGCTGATTGTCGCGTCACGAGTGCCCAGTTTGAAGGACGCAACATCAACACCATGGTGGCACGAGTGACTTGTGGCAATATGACAAAAAGTACACATTAGCTGCCACCGCCCTAGCTCAAGAAAACAAAGAAGTACTCAAGGGAAAGGTTACAGAAATTTTGTTTTGTTGTGAGCTTGTTTCCTAGCGATAAGGTGCATAAACACTAAAAGGAATGTTCGTACAATCGGCTAATCAAGTGAACTCGAATTAATTTCTATGTAAACTCTCTTGCTAAAAATATTTAAAAAGACCTTCTGGACCACCGCATAAACTTGGAGACAAGACTGTGAAAATCACTACCAGTGGTACGAAGTGCTGAAAATGCGTACGTGCTCAAACCAGCTGGCTTTGTGAGCGTACCCAAGATCAAGTCCATTATTCGCTCAGAAGTACCTGAATGATATGTCCAGGAAATTGGAGTTATATGTCACATTTTTGCTCAGATATTAAAATGTTTTTGTCATTATCGATGATCATAATCAGCATGTATGCTTATAAGCTCGCCTTTGTTTGCTCCTATATGCAGGGTAACGAGTAGTTATAGCTATTGCATGCAAAAGTGTCTTGAATCTAGTGTGTATTTGCTGTAGTAGCTATGGCTTCTGTTCTTCGACAGATGACAATGGGTGAGGCTAGCTTCCTTTCGCTGCTGACAGACTTCATCGGCAAGACGGAGAAGCTTCAAAACAATCCTCCAAATCTGATACCAGAGGAATCGCTTGTTGTGACTAAGGTGCTTGAAGTGCTGGGACCTTATAGCATCGACAATGGTGGACCTTTGCTCCTCAAACCAATCTATTTTCAAGGCCTTGAAAAAAGGAAGAACCTCATTGTCACATATCCTGGTGAAGAGCAAGATAGAATAGTCTCCATTGTTGGCTGTCATATGGACGTGGTAGTGGCTGATCCAACCAAATGGGTAACTACTGCTCTTGCCTCTTGCAAATTGAGCTGATTACTAGCTGATAGTTGTTTTGTTTTCTTCAGGAACATTCGCCGTTTAAGTTAACCCAGCTTGAAGATGGTGATACGCTCTATGGACGAGGCACTACAGATTGCCTCGGACATGTTGCATTAGTGACGCAGCTGTTGAAGCAGATGGCAGAAGCAAAGTTGAGGCTCAAAACAACTGTGGCAGCTGTGTTCATTGCAAACGAAGAGAATGCCACAGTCCTGGGCATTGGGGCTGATGCACTCATGGATGCACATGAACTCGATTTCCTCAAAAATGGTCCTTTGTAAGTTCGAGGCTCTAGCCAATTGATTGAGCTTGCATACATGGTATTTTCGTTTTGTTTCTGCAGATATTGGATGGATTCCTCCGACAAACAGCCTTGCATTGGAACCGGTGGAATGCTTGCTTGGCATCTCACAGCTCATGGAAAACTTTCCCACAGTGGTCTACCAAAGCAGGTACATTTGTACAGTACAGGAAAGTAATGCTCACCGTATCTAAAGCTCTTGGCAATGTGTCGCAGGGAATCAATGCAATTGAGCTTGCTTCTGAGGGACTGAAAGAAATTCAGGATCGTTTCTATAACGATTTTCCAAAGGTTGTTCCAGATGAAGATAACTACAAGTTCGACACCCCTTCAACAATGAAGCCTACACAATGGACATGTAAGCATTGACAGCAAGCAGATTGTGGACTCTTAAGCTTGTTAAATTCTTCTTTGCAAGAAGACCCCGGGAGTGCAATTAATCAAATCCCAGACACTTGCACCATTTCTGGAGATTGCAGGTATTTGATTGAATTTTGGATTTCGAATTAAAATATGTTGCTCCTCGCATTGTGAATTATGTTGCAGGATAACACCTTTCTACAAGTACTCTATCTTGAGATCTAGAACCCTTTGCTGAAACGTGTGCGCAGGGTGGACGAAGTTGAAAAGAAACTCTTGCAGTACGTGGACTATATAAACCAAAACATAGAAAAACTGGAGACTCGTGGACCGGCGTCTAAATATGTGTTACCGGATGGCACCAGAGGAAAGTAAGGAGCATAGAAATGTTGCTAAAGCCTCCCTTGAGTTTCCATTTTCCAGATTGGAGATAACATTTGATGCGGAAAAGATGCAAGGCATTGCCTGTCACATGGACTCAAAGGGATATAAAGCCTTAGCTAAAGCCACTGAGGAGGTTCTGGGACATGTTGAGCCGTTCTCAATTACTGGATCACTTCCAATCGTTGGTGATCTGCAGGTACCTTTCATTTGTTCTATTTCTATCCTACTGAGAGCAAGTTCAATTATCACCAGGACCAAGGATATGACGTGCAAACCATAGGCTATGGTAAAATGACATTATCTCTTTATTGAAGTGCTAATATTTATTTAAGTGAATGATGCAGGTTTAACATCAGCATATCATGCAGACAACGAGATTTGTCTGCTGTCGGACATGTCCCAAGGCTTCAAAATCTTTGCCATATTGATTGCAGACTTGGATAGTTCATTATAAGAAAGATGATGCAGTTCAAATACGTTCTAATCAATGCACTTCAACTTGATCGACGCTTGAGTGATCAGGAGGCCGGTCAAAGACTGCAAGCCAAGTGAGTGGCCCCTTTGAGTCAGTTGTATTTGCAGTTATATTGTTCGTACTTGATATTATAAATTGAATGTGAAAATTATTTTATTATAATTGTGAAATAATTTTCTAGATGAAAACACTAAAGCGGAGAAGTACTTGGCACGTGAAGCTCACACCCGTGGTGCTTGGGCTCGTTCCAAACACTAGCGATTTAAATTGAAGCATTCAGCTGTTGAAAATTACGTGGGCACTCGGGAGAAATGTCTCCTCGCGTCCCTGTTTGTCAGGGATTTAGGTGAGGAAGAGATTGACGGACGAGCACCTCCAATCGAAATGGGACTCCAGGGGCCACGGCCAAGTAATGAAAGTCAATAAACTGACAGTCTTCAAAAGCTCCATGCTCAATAATCCGGATCAATAATGCGGATCCAAATTGCATTCTTACATCCGTGATTCAAAAAAGCACAAATATTTCTCTTAAAATGAAACTACGCCAACCTTTGTCTCTTATTGGTACCGGAATCGGATAGACATTTGAAGAATCTCTTCCAGCCAACGTAAACTCCCTCGATTATAAGTGCCGTGAGATGCCGAGGGACCTCCAGCTTACACTTTGCGCTTTCCATCGTGACAATCGGTCGGCCATCTCCATCCAACTCGATTCCCTGCTGGGATTGCGCCTTGTGGAAACACTCGTAGTAGTAAATCGGACTGATATATGGTGGAAGACCGTAATCAACGTTGCGATCCACGAACAAAACATTTGGGAAGGGCATCACGCTCCTGAGTAGAACAGCCAGAAGAATCCTCCCACACCTCCCATTACCATCGAGAAAAGGATGTATGTTCTCAAACTCGAGGAAAAATGATCCCCCGAGCTTGAGCACAGCTTCGATCTGTGCCTTGGCCGGTTCCAAGCGAGAAATCTCTGAAAGGGCCGACTTGGTTTTGGTGAAGAGCTCGTCCAGGGAAGCACGCACCAAAGTTGGCCAGGTAAAGACATGCACGCCAACTTCCGTATTTGTGAACACGACTTCCTTCTCTAAGCCCCGAATCCGGCCCGCGATCTCTGCATTTGTTGAAGCGAGCAATTCGGCGTGGCACTTCTCCAGTTCTTGGATGGAAAACTCGGGCTGTGACTGCCCATCATCGACCCAATAGTGTTTCAAGGCCTTGTAAAGGCAGCGAACGCTTTCCAGCCTCGAATCCTCCTGCTTTTCACGCAATTCTAGAGCACCCTTTTCGATCGCTTGCACGGTTTCATCGTAAGTGTCAAAGCCTTCCCTTTCAATCTTGTTAACTTGGAAGAGAAACTCTCCGAGAGCAACTCGTGTGTGTTCCGTCCTAGCAGAAGTCTTCTCCTCTGGGGAGAGTTTCTCATACCTGGAACAAAAATCCACAATCCTGTCGAGCATCTCGCTGGTGCTCAAATCGCTCCTCCTCCAGTTTGGTCTCTCCTTGACGACGAAATCCATCACTGGATACAAAAAACCCTATACTCGACTGCAACAAAACCATTTTTCTAAAAACCTTTTTAGCAGAAAGGGGAGAAAAAAAAAAAACGATGATCGTCAGTTCACGCGCTGTACCGCAGAATCGATTTGTTTAACGTGCTCTTGGAGAACATTCCACTGATCCATGGTGAGAGAGATTCCTGGAATAATCAACAAAGCAACTATTGATCAGTGTGTGGGTGTGGGTTTGATCGATTTGGAGTTGAAAACCAACCTTTCTTCCCTGGCAAGCACTCGCCTCCTTTGTACCAATACTCTCGAATGTCTACCAAGACTTGCCCCCTCCATTTGCGCACCGAGACCTTGCGATTCTTTGATATCTACGAGCTCCAAGAGATTAGGGCTACCCCGGATTCGATTATCCCATCATACCTCGCACACCGCCACGGTCTCCTCGTCCTCTTTCTCGTCTGCTTTGCTCCCGCGCTTCCTCTTGCTCGCCATTACCAAAAAACAAAAGATTCTTTAGGGCTCTTCCAGATTCGATTATTAGTTTTTGTTGATCAAAAGATTGAGAAAAGAAAAGGTTAGGAGCATTTTTGCCAGTATCCAGCAACTTGGCTGGCCGTAAACCTTGACACCATGACTTGATCCCTGGGAGGCATGTTGCAAGGTTGTCCTGCTGTAACATTTCCAATGTTTTCACCTGGATTCGGCCGCCATGGCTGGACGCCTTTGGGAACCTCCGGCTTGAACCTTTGCAACTTTGCGTACGCTTGCATGACATGCAGCATGTACGAGTAGACGTGATCCATGGTTAGCTGCTCCTTGAGAAAGGCTTGCCCACGTTTTCCAATAGCAGAAGCCTTCGAAGATTTGGAAGAGAAGTTTAGGCAAAGAAAACCAAATGGAAGAATGAGATTTACCTCAAATGGATGTGCGTTTCCCCAGTCCACAGCATGCTTAATGGATGAACACATGTTCTCTCTGCTGATTGGCCAGTACTCCACATAAGGTAGCCAGGATCTCGCGAAAAACTCCCAGAAATCGGGCTGAATGTGGAGAATTGTGGAGCCACAAGATATCAAGTATTTGAGGCTAGCTGACCACCCTCGTCCTTCAGCATAAACCTTGTATCTACGCCACAAATATCAAGAAAAAGCACACACAAAGTTTACAATCTTTATCCATCACTTCTGATTTTAAGTCCATTTCATTACCTGGTGTGACATTGTTTTGATAGCGACGATGTCTTGAATCCCTCGGCTTCCTCTTTTGCCCAATCCTGGGAATTAAAAAAAAATGTAAAAACTTCATCACCATTTGCGTGGATTCTTACCAAATAATAGACGACAACGTTGTATTGCGTGTTGTTGCATTGAAGCAACTCCTCGCGAACCGGTGTCATCACCCAAAGATTTCCCTTCCAGTAGGCAATCGCCTCCCTCTCAAACCAATCCGTTTCATTCGCTCCCTCGAAAATCTCCACACTTTCTTGCTCCCAGGGACGAATCTTGACTTGTGGCCTATGAAAGAAAATTCACAAAGTTTTGGCGATCAAGCTCTCGAAAAAACAGCGAAAAGAAGAAGCTCAGGGACGATAGTGCTCGCTTACCATCCCCAGAAAGACCAATCTGGGAAGAGTATATCAAAATGCCCCCCGAACCTGGACGTGCAATAGGAGAAGATTGGCGGCGGCGGCTTTGACCGATACTCGTCCTTGGGAACTTGAGGGAAATCATTGCAAACAAAGACCATCTCCATGTCCGGAATCATCCCGGGGAATTTCTCCAGCAGCAAGAGCAATCCTTGGAGAGTGATCTCGTCCCGGGTCTGGATGCATTCCTGAATCCGCTCAAAGTAGAGCTTACCATCGACGATAACGAGCCGAAAATCGCCTTTTCGCCGGGCCTCGTCCAGGTGCTCGCGAGTGATCCCACTCTCGCTCCAGGGAGCCAGATCTTCGTGGATCCATGCGAAGTAAGATGGGCAATTGGGCTGCTGCTGCTGGCGATGGATCGTCCCCATGTGGTCCTCCTCATGCGCGACTACCGCGAGAGGGTCAACTCGTTGGTCCTCCTGGATCACCGGGAAGCATCGCCGTGAGTGTAAGATCGAGACTAAACTTACACTTGCCGATCGATCGACCGATTGGAGCTAGATGGATAATTTACTGTTTGCTTACTCTGAAAAAGAAGAACAGGGAAACGAGGAGTAGAAACGCCATGGCTGCTCCCAGCACCCTGTTACGGAAGAGATCTCCATAGAACATGGAATCGAGTGAGAGATGGATGGATCGGAGATAGATCGATGGATCGCTCGATCGAGCTGGACTCCACTCCACTCTCTCTACCAGACCAGAAAGAGAAAAGAGGAACCTTTCCTCTCTACCAGACCAGAAAGAGAAAAGAGGAATCTTTCCACTGGTATAACGACACGTACTCGAAACCGTTGACTTTTACATTTGACTCGTTCAACGGTAGGCTAATGGACGGTCCGATAAACGTGGACCATGGATTCCCATGACCGTCCCAAGAATCTTCGCATATGCCAAGAGCCTGTGGTATATTCCATATGCAAGCTTGTTTTGATACGAACTTTTGCGCGTCACTGATCAAATCATGCAAGACTCTGGGCGATGTCGAGTCCGCCCACTCTCGGCTTCTCTCCAATCCACATCTTCTTCCCTCTTCCGGAGTGTTCCTCCTTAATCTCTTCGTCCAAATGTATGCCAAGTGTGGCAGCCTTGCCAAGGCCGAGGAGGTCTTCGCCTCGATCCCTCACAAGAACACTTACTCGTGGGTTCTCATGCTCTGCGCGTATGCCGACCATGGACGCTTCCAGGAGGCCAACAATATCTTTGAGAAGATGCCCGAGTGGAACGTTGTGGCCTTCACCGCTATCCTTGACGCAAATACCAAGTCTGGGGATTTTGAGGGTGCTAGAAAGATACTCAATGAAATGCCGGAGAGAAATCTCGTGTCATGGACAGCAATGCTGTCGGCTTACGTACAAGCAGGCAAGTTTGAGCAGGCAAAAGGAATATTCTTTGCAATGCCGGAGTGGGATCTTATGTCAAGAAACGCGATGCTGTCAGCATATGCCAGACATGGGCATTTGGAAGAGGCCAAGCGACTGTTTGATTCCATGCAGCAGCGCGACATGGTGACGTGGGCGGCAATGCTGTCGGCCTATACGGAGACAGGGCATCTGGCGGCGGCAAAAGATACGTTTGATTCTATGCCGGAGCATAATCTAGTCTCAAAGACATCGATGGTCGGAGCATATTCCCAGAACGGGCAAATGGAGCTCGCCAAGCAAGTGTTTGATTCAACCCCAGAGCTCGACGTCTTCTCCTGGAACGCAATGCTCTCGGCCTTTGCAAACAATGGCTACCTCCGGGAGGCTAAAGAATTCCTGGACGAGATTCCGGAATGGAATGTGGTTTCCTGGAACGCTTTGCTTTCGGCATTTGCTCAAAGGGGTCGTTTAGATCACGCAAGGGATCTCTTCAACTGGATGCCGGAGCGCGATCGCATCTCCTGGTCTTTGATGCTGGCGGGACTCCTGCAAGGAGGGCTCCTCCGCGAAGCCAGAGCTCTTCTCGATCGGATGCCCGAGTGGAGCGCCATGGTCTGGACGGCGATGCTCACCGCCTTCTCGGAGCACGGGCATCTCGATCAAGCCAGGAAGATCTTCGACGAGATTCCAGAGAATAATCTCGTGTGTTGTACGGCAATGCTGGCGGCGTACGCCGAGAACTCGCTGCTGGAACACGCCAAGGAGATATTCGATGGCATGGCGGAGAGGAATCTAATCTCCTGGAACGCCATGGTCACGGCATATTCCCAGAACGGCCACCCTCGCGAGGCCAAGCGGCTCTTCGACTCCATGCCCGCTTGGGACCTCGTCTCGTGGACCGCCCTGTTGACCGCCTACACGCACGGCTTCCACGTGGACGAGGCCAAGTCCACGTTTGACCGGATGCCGTACAGGGACGTGGTGGCGTGGAACGCGCTGTTGACCGCGTACGTGCAGGGCGGCCACGTACGGCAGGCCCGGAGCCTGTTTGACGCGATGCTCCAGCGCTCGCAAGTGTCGTGGAATCTTATCGTGCACGGATATGCCCAGGCCGGGCATATGCTGGGAGCCCGGGCTCTCTTTGACGGTATGCCCGAGAGGGAGATCCCGGCGTGGACGGCCACGATTGCGGGATATGCCCAGTCCGGGCATCCCACGGAAGCGCTGGAGCTCTTCTGCGAGCTACACTTGGAAGGGATCAAAGCGGCAGAGGCGTCGTTCACGTCGGCTTTGATCTCTTGCAGCCATGGCGGGGATTTGCGCTCGGCCTGCCGATGGTTTGCGTCGATGAGCTTGGACTTTGGATTGACACCCATGAAGCAGCAGTTCAGCTGCATGGCGGATTTGCTGGGCCGAGCCGGGCATGCCCGAGATGCCCAAGAGCTCATGGAGACGATGCCTTTCCAGCCCGACTTCCAGGCCTGGCTGTCGCTGCTCGGGGCCTCGTTCCGGGGCCCGGGCGATGCCGAGTGCGGAGCTCGGGCAGCCGAGGCAGCGGTGGAGCTCAATCCTCACGTCGCTGCTCCATACGTACTTGTCACGAATGCGATGCGCTATTGTTAAATGCCACACTTCTCAAGCAACGACAACGGAGGATAGAACTGACCATCTCGCGGAGGGTAATTCCAAAAACTCCGTATGGTTGACAAGCTTTCGTGGAAAACACGTGAGCCTTTAAGAGAGTCTGGCACCATTTGGAAGAAGTTGTGGCTATGGAGGTCCCCGGAAGCTATGGTGTGCCATGGCTGAGTGCTATCAAAGACAAGCTCGACTTCCACTACATCCAGGGCGAGGTGGAGTTTTTCAAGAGCCGCGTAAAGAAATACAAGAGCACCGTGCTCAAGGTAAACTTCATCCCCACTCCTCCGGGATTTCCAAACCCCGCGGGGATCGCCCTCCTCGACCAGAGATCCTTCCCAGTTCTCTTCGACAACTCCAAAGTCGACAAGCGCGACGTCTTCGTTGGCTCCTACAAGCCATCCGATGCCTTCACCGGCGGCGTTAGAACGCTGGCGTACCTCGACACCGAGGAGGAGAAGCACGCCCGTCTCAAGGAATTCGTGTTCCAGATCCTCAAGAGCACCGGCCCGAGGTTCCTGTCCGAGTTTGAGGCCGAGATGGCCAGCGCTCTCGCCGGGGTGGAGGCCGAGATGGAGTCCGGGACGAAGAACTCCATCGCCGTGAGCTCCAAGCTCCTGGATCTGGCGTTTAACTTCATGGTCAAGGCGGTCACCGGCGGCGCTGACCCATCCAGTCAATTCGGGTCATACGGCCCCCTGCTAATGCAGCTATGGATTGGCGTCCAATTCGCGCCAATCTCGCCACGCACGCAACTCCCCGCCGTGATCGAGGAGCTCCTCCTCCGCAGCTTTCCACTGCCGCCACTGATCGTCCGGTGGCCCTACGATCGCATCGCCGGATTCTTCCGCGACAACGCCACCGCGCTGATCGACATGGGCGAGAAGCAATTCGGGCTGGATCGCGAGGAGGCGCTCCACAATCTCGTGTTCGTGGTGGGCGTGAATGGGTTCCTGGGCTTCTCGCGGATGCTCCCATCGCTGCTGTTCTACGTCGCGTCGCAGAGCGAGGCGTTCCAGCAGCGGCTGGGCGGGGAGATCCGCGGCGCGATGGGCGACGATGGTAGCGCGCGCAAGTTCATGGCCGCGGTGGAGCGAATGCCGCTGCTCAAATCGACCGTGCTGGAGGTGATGAGGATCGCGCCGCCGGTGCTCTACCAGTACGGGCGCGCGCGGCGGGAATTCGTGGTGGAGTCCGGGGATGGGAGGGAGTTTCTCATCCGCAAGGGCGAGCTGCTGGGCGGATCGCAGGCGCTCGTGTGCCGGGATCCCACAGTCTTCGATTCGCCGGACGAGTTTGTCCCGGATCGCTTCCTCGGGGCCCAAGGCCGCGAGCTGGAGCGCTGTGTGTTTTGGTCCAATGGCCGCAACACGGACTCTACGAGCTCTGCCAACAAGCAGTGTGGAGGGAAGGATTTCGTGGAGACAATCGGGCGTTTGTTCGTCGCGCAGCTCTACTTGCGGTACGAAAGCATCAAGCTGGGCCCGGATTCCAAGCCCGAGTCGCCCGTGATCAAATCGCTGAGAAAGATCTCCGTGGCAACTAGAACTGGCAACAAAGTAAGTGCCTAGCTCCAAGCTGGAGTGTATAAGCTCTTTGATTGATTGATAGCTCATAACTTACTCCTGGTTCTTCACTGTGGGATCTTTCGGAATTCCGCTAGCACGGGGTAGATGTTCTCGAAAGCTTCGTAGATCTCGTCTCTTACCTGTGGAGCTTTTTTCAGTATCAAAGCATGAGAGAGGGATCAAACCTTTGCTCCCGTGAGCACGATTTTGCCAGAGACGAAGATGAGCAAGACGATCTTAGGCTGCTTCATTCTGTAAATGAGTCCTGGGAAGATCTCCGGCTCGTACTGCGAAACGAATGTCTTAACCAAGAGAAGAAGAAGAACAGGAGAAATGAGCATAGCTTAACTGTTGAGAAGTGGCCGTGGGAGAAGGCGAGGCCTTCGAGCCGGATTGGAAATCGGACATCGCACGATCCCACGATGTTCTGAATCTTAAAGTCCTGTGCAGGAGAAAGGCTATGGAAGATACACATGATTTTGACAGGCTCTAGTACCTTGAATTGACTGGGAAAGCCAAGCTTTTGGATGATCCGAGCGTACTAGACACCATGCACACAAAACTTGCGTAAGTAGCTAGAAGTCATTGACTGCCTCTTTCAAGTAGTCTTTTTTCTCTTAGTTGGTTGAGAAACCTTTCTAGCCGCAAGCCTGCAATTTTGTTCGCTCTTGGCCCCAGTGCACACCTAAGTAGAGACCAAACAAGAAAAAAAAAATAAAAAAAAATCTTACTGAATTAGCAGTTAGTCGTCGAGGTCACGGATAAAAATCTCACCATCTTTCCGGACGCAAAGATGAGAGCCGTGGTTTTGGGTTCTCTTATACGCATGATCACAGCAGCAAAACGCTGGATAAGAGAAGAGAGAGAGAGACAAGTCATAAAAACAAGAGAAAAAAAAGAACACAAACAAACCTTGGGATTGTACTCGGCATTCCTTGCATGCAGCGCGATCGTCTTTAGCTCGAGCTTGCAATCCATGTTCACAGTCGCGACTATGTTCCTGGATGGCGGAATCAAAAAAGAAAATAGGATAAAATAAATCCACCAGGAAAGTCTAAAGTTCCATTTTTCCAACAAGAAGATATCACTCAACTGGAGCGTGGGAACGATCCCTGACGGATGCTTGCTCAAGTCAACAGCCACGCCGCCTTGGAATCCCAGTCGCGAGAAGCCCTCTTTGCTCGAAGGCGATGGATTGTTCTCCAGTTCTTGATGAATTTGCTGCTGCGGCTGGTGCTGATAAGCCACATTCTGGCGCTGCCACGCGAAGTACTGCTGCAGCTGACTGGAATCCAGATTCGCGATCGCTGGAGCCGCGGCATACTGACCCTGGAAGAAATTTTGCTGCGCGAAGAAATCTTGCTGAGCAGCAAGATCTTGCTGCTGCTGCTGGTATTGGAGGCGCCGATCGATCAAGGGCGGCGGCAGCGCCGGATCGCCGTGAAGAATGTGCTCCTCGGGGACGAAATCTTGGCTTTTCCCGGCGCCCGCCTCTTCACATCCCTCCATTCCAAAACAATGGACCGCTCTTCGCGAGCCCTATTAATACGTATACGTTTGGCATGAAGGAGTGACACGTGGAAGATTCTCAAGCCAAGAGCTTTCCTTTTTTCTCCATTGACATTGATGAAAGAGCACAAAAAATCCCTCCTTGTTATCAAACTAATCTTTTGGCTCTATTGTTTTATACATTTACACGAGATGTTACTGCAAAAGGCCGCCCGAGAGGAAAGAGAAGAAGAGATCCAAGAGAGAGAGAGAGAGAGAGAGAGAGAGAGAGCGAGAGGAGAGAAAAAAAAACTGGAAGAACTCACAACTCCGAGTGATCATCGTCAGAGTCGTCGTCTTCGGACGATGGCGATCCCGCGGCGCCGCCGGTCTTTTGGTAGATCTGCGTGATGATCGGGTTACACACCGCCTCCACCTCCTTGAGCTTGTCATCGAAGTCCTCCTTCTCGGCGGTGTTGTTATCGTCGAGCCACTCGAGCGCCTCCTTGAGCGTCTCCTCGATCTTCTCCTTGTCCTCCTTCTCGATCTTGTCCGCCAGCTTGTCCTTGTCGTTGATCGTGTTCCTCATGTTGTAGAGGTACGTCTCCAGGCCGTTCCTCGAGTCCACCCTCTCCTTTTGCTTCTTGTCCTCCTCGGCCATCTCGTCCGCCTCGCGAACCATCCGGTCGATCTCCTCCTGGGTCAATCGCCCCTTGTCATTGGTGATGGTGATCTTCTCGGACTTGCCGGTGCCCTTGTCCTCGGCTCTGACGTTGAGGATACCATTGGCATCGATCTCAAAGGTAACTTCGATTTGAGGGACGCCACTGCAAAAAGAGAGATCGTTAAGTTGAGTTGCCTGTGGGAGATCTTACCGTGGAGCCGGAGGAATGCCAGCGAGGTCGAACTTCCCGAGCTCGCGGTTGTCCTTCGTCATACTCCTCTCGCCTTCGTACACCTATACCAACCGAGCAAAGTTAGCTCTACCATACAGCAAAAGAGGGAATGACGACTTACGTGAATGGACACGGCTGACTGCTGGTCCTGGTACGTGGTGAAGACCTGAGACTTCTTGGTCGGAATGACCGTGTTCCTGGGGATCAGCTTGGTCATCACTCCACCAACGGTCTCGATACCCAGAGTAAGGGGCGCAACGTCCAAGAGAAGAATGCCTGTCAATGGACGCGCGTTAGCACAGATGAATTACAAAAGAAGACAAGTATTTGCTTACCTTTAACATCGTCGCCGCCTTCACCGCTCAAGATACCGCCCTGGACAGCAGCACCAAAAGCCACAGCCTCGTCGGGGTTCACACCCTTGTTCGGCTCCTTCCCGTCAAAAAAGTCCTTCAAGAGCTGCTGCACCTTTGGAATTCGTGTGCTCCCGCCAACAAGAACAATTTCGTGGATCTCACTCTTCTGTAAGTTGGCGTCGTCCATAGCCTTCTTGACTGGCCCCATCGTCTTCTTGAAAAGATCGGCATTCAGCTCCTCGAATCTAGCTCTGGTCAGAGGCTCCGAGAAGTCGACACCGTCGAAGAGGGACTCGATTTCCACCCGGACTTGGTGCTGGTTGCTGAGAGCTCTCTTGGCACGCTCAACTTCCCTACGAAGCTTGCCAAGAGCCCGGTTGTCCTTGCTGATATCCTTGTTGTGCTTCTTCTTGATGAGCTTGATGAAGTAGTCCATCACTCTCTGATCGAAGTCCTCACCTGCATTGGTAGATGTCAGTTTCGAGCTGTAAGAAAGAAAAGGAGAAGGCTTTGATCAAAGTACCTCCAAGATGGGTGTCTCCGTTGGTAGACAACACTTCAAACACTCCGTTGTCGATCGTCAAGATACTGACATCGAAAGTACCACCACCGAGATCAAACACAAGGATGTTCTTCTCACCACCCTTCTTGTCCAGTCCATAGGCGATTGCTGCCGCAGTGGGCTCGTTGATAATACGAGCCACATTCAGTCCGGCGATGGCACCGGCATCCTTCGTTGCCTGCCTCTGTGCGTCATTGAAGTACGCTGCCATCGAGAAGATCAGTAAAAACTATGATTTGGAAAACAAACAACTAGATGAATGAGTACCTGGAACTGTGACAACGGCGTCCTTGATCTTCTTGCCCAAGTATGACTCGGCCGTCTCCTTCATTCTCGTCAAAATCATAGCGCTTATCTCCTCTGGACTGAAGACCTTAGTCTCGCCATCCTTCACCTTGACTTGGATGTACGGTTTTCCATCCTTGTTGACGATCTTAAATGGAAAGAGCTTCATATCTTTTTGAACCTCTTTGTCTTCAAACCTGTGACGGTACGAGAGTTAGATCAAGAAGGAACAAGTAGGAAAAATTGCAAATGGGAATCTAACTTACTTCCTTCCAATTAGCCGCTTGACATCGAAGATCGTCCTCTCGGGATTAACAGCGGCTTGATTCTTCGCTGCTTCTCCAATGAGACGCTCTGTCTCGGTGAAAGCCACCCAGGAAGGAGTGATACGGTTGCCCTGATCGTTGGCGATGATTTCGACATGGCCATTCTTGTAGACGCCCACACACGAGTAAGTGGTGCCAAGATCAATGCCAATCACAGTCCCTAGCTTCGCTGCTTCTTCTTTCGCGACCACAGCAGCTCCTACACGATCAAAGGGGAAGATTTTAGACGAACTATCGATCGCTGCCGCTGGCCTTGGACACTAGATCTAAAATCTCACCTGCGATGAGCAACGCGAACAGTAGAATCACCGATCTCTCCATCGCGCTCTCTGTCGAAATGCTGCGAGACCTAAGCGCGCATGCCTTTTTAACTCCTCTGGTGCTAGCTGAAAGCTCTAGAAAGAACTAGGGCAGATGCAAGCAAGCGAATGGGAGCACGACACGTGGAAAACGCCCCAATGAGAATAAACCAGGTCATCCAGCCAATCAGAAGGCGTGGCCACTCTACAATGAAGTGGCTCGGCCAATCAGAGCCCGGCATTTTGTTGGTTGTTTTATTGCCGCCGGATCGCGTGGGCGTGGACAAATCGAGGCCGTTTGTTTTAAATGCCAGGTGAAAAGAAACTTAAAAGAGTGCCCTAGCTTGGACGCTGGACGGAGCTCGCCATGGCGCGATCGGCAGCGGTGGTTGCCCTGTTCTTCCTGATCGCTCTCACGGCCTTCCCCGATCAAGGTAATCGATATTCACGGATCTCCGTGGGGGCATTGGATTGATCTAAGAATCGAGTGATTTTTGCTCTGCTTAGGCCCGATCAGGTCTAAGGTCCACGCAGAAGATACCGGAGTTACCGAAGAGAATGCCAGTCCTCCGAAAATCGAAGAACCGATCGGTGGCGCGATTCCTGACGCCTTGTCTACTGATTCCCAGGTTGTCGAGAGGTAATGTACATCATTACTTTGCTGGAACTTTTTTGTTTCTCTTCTTTTTCCGGGGCAATTCTAAGTGTGTGGACATTTTCTACTCAGGGAGTCCGAGTCCGTGGGCCAAAAGACTTTGCGAGCCCATGCACAGAGATTTACGTTCCAGGCTGAAGTTTCGAGGTTGATGGACATTATTGTCAACTCTCTATATAGCAACAAGGATATCTTCCTTCGAGAGCTTATTTCGAACGCCTCTGACGTGAGTGAGATGGTTGATTTGGTGTTCGCCGTTTGAGCCCCTCTTCTTCTTGTTCTTTTTTCTCACAGGCATTGGACAAAATTCGGTTTCTGTCTCTTACCGACAAGTCTCAGCTCGGCGAAGGTGACGAGTCCAAACTGGAAATCAGGGTCGGTACTTCATCCATTTCAGTCGCTAATAGTCGTCCAAGTTCTTACATTCTATATACCAGATTAAACTGGACAAAGAGAAGAAGCTTCTTTCTATTCGCGATCGTGGCATCGGGATGACTAAGGACGAGTTGATAAAGAACCTTGGAACAATCGCGAAGTCTGGAACCTCAGGTGCTTTCTTTGACTCCTTTGAATTTTGTTGAACAACTTTGATGTTTCTTTTGTAGCATTTTTCGAAAAGATGCAGTCAGGAGGTGACTTAAATTTGATTGGCCAGTTTGGAGTCGGTTTCTACTCGGTGTATTTGGTCGCGGATTACGTCGAGGTCATCAGTAAAAATAACGAAGACAAGCAGTATGGCTTTCAGCTTTTCTGTTTAACTAGGCTTTGGAAGCTGACATATATTTCTTAGGTACATTTGGGAATCTACAGCTGATGGAGCTTTTGCCGTTAGCGAGGATGAAGAAAATGAGCCGTTAGGACGCGGGACTGAAATTAAATTGCACCTGAAAGATGATGCTGCGGATTATTTGGAAGAGTCGAAACTGAAAGTACGTTCCATTGTTTTGCCTTTTGATTTTGTGACCTAACTTTTTGTTTTTCTTTTGGCAACGCAGGAGCTAGTTCAAAAGTACTCAGAATTCATGAACTTTCCGATATACCTTTGGAATTCTACGGAAGTTGAGGTTGAAGTTCCTGTAGACGAAGAGACTGAAGAGACTGTTGAAGAGGAAGACGACAAACCAGAAGACAAACCAGGTTTGCTTTCAAAGACAAGGAATGCTGTTTTAATTTTTGCTCTTTTAACTTGCAGAAGAAAGTGAAACAGAAGAGGAGACTGAAAGTAAGAGGTTTTCTTTCTATAAACTTTGGTTTACAGTATTTATCTTGTTTAGAGCCGAAAACGAAGAAAGTCAAAGAAATCAAGTGGGACTGGGAGCTACTAAATGACGTCAAAGCTATCTGGCTAAGGAGTCCAAAGGATGTTACCGAGGATGAGTACTCGAAGTTTTATCATTCGATCTCTAAGGTGAGCTGATGTGATTGGCAAATGTTGTCAATTTTACGTGCATTGTTCAGGATTATAACCCCGACAAGCCAATGTCCTGGAGTCATTTCTCTGCGGAAGGAGATGTCGAGTTCAAGGCTGTGTTGTTCATTCCTCCGAAGGCTCCGCATGATCTTTACGAGAATTACTACAACAGCAAAACATCATTGAAGCTCTACGTTCGGCGAGTGTTCGTATCCGACGAGTTCGACGAACTTTTGCCTAAGTACCTCAGCTTTTTGAAGGTTGGTCGTGTGCAGTATTCGCGTCAGTCTATTTAATGCTTGGGTTTTTCACAGGGCCTGGTCGATTCTGATACACTGCCAATTAACGTTTCTCGAGAAATGCTGCAGCAGCACGGCAGTTTGAGAACCATCAAGAAGAAACTTGTTCGCAAGGCGCTCGATATGATTCGTAGCATAGTTAACGCTGACCCGGACGAGGCCAATCCTGATGCCAAAGCGGAGGATGCCAAAGCTGAGAATGCTGAAGGTTGGTACATGTACATATTGGTCGTTAACGTTAAGTTGTTTACCTTTCAGACGTAAAATCTGACGAGAAGAAGGAAGAAAAATCCGACGAGAAGAAGGAAGAAAACAAAGGAAAATACGTCAAGTTCTGGAACGAGTTCGGCAAGTCGATTAAACTTGGCATCGTTGAAGACGCAACTAACAGAGTGCGTCTTGCGAAACTCCTGCGATTCTACAGGTAAGATAGTCAAGAAAATTGTAGCAGCTCTGATTGTTATTCTAAATTCTCACAGCTCTAATTCGGACGACAAGCTCTCCTCACTTGAACAGTATGTTAGCCGGATGAAGCCCGGGCAGAAGGACATCTATTTCATCACTGGCCAAGACCGTGAGCAACTCAAGAAGTCTCCGTTTCTGGAGAGGCTCCAGAAAGAAGGCTATGAGGTACTTTTTTCCTTTGGGATAATAATCCGAGGTGACTAATGCCTTGGTTCATGCGCAGGTTATTTTCTTCACGGACCCAGTCGATGAGTATTTGACTCAGTACCTGACCGAGTTCGATGACAAGAAGCTCGTCAACATCTCCAAGGAAGGATTGAAGCTTGGACAGAAGGACAAGGAGAAGGCCAAGGAATTGAAGCAGTCGTTCAAGCCTCTGCTGGCATGGTGGAAAGACGTTCTTAAGCCCGAGGGTGTGGACAGCGTGAAAATCAGTAACCGTCTTGCCGACACTCCCGCCGTGGTTGTGACATCCACTTATGGCTGGAGCGCCAACATGGAGAGGATAATGCGAGCGCAAACCTTGACCGACAACTCCAGACAGAACTACATGCGCGGAAAGAGAGTGCTGGAGATCAATCCCCGTCACCCCATCATCAAGGAGTTGCGTGGGAAAGTGGACGAACAGCCAGAGGTTCGTCTAGTTTGCATTACAAGATCTAAGTTCTCATCTCATTGTTTTCTACAGGATGAGAGCACAAAGGCGACTGGAAAGCTCATCTACAAGACGGCTTTGATTGACAGTGGTTTCCTGGTTGACGACTCGAAGGAGTTTGCGTCCCAGATCTACTCGATCATCAAGAGCAACCTCAACATCAGCCCCGACGCACAATTCGACGAGGAGATCGAGACGGTCATCGAAGACAAGGTATGAAGCTTATGACAAGGCTAGGGATATGGATCTGTTTACTGTTTTTGTCTTCTCACAGGAGAGCGTCGAGGAGAACGAAGATGCTGAGCCAGGCTCCGAGGGTTCCGAGGGCTCCGAGCCAGATTCGCCCTTTGGCGAGGATGGATTGCCGAGAGGCCAGTCCATGGGGAGTACTCTTAGGTCCGAAAACTATGAGCCAGACGACGAAGACGAGAAGGATGAACTATGACGAGATAGCCTCTAGACATTTTGTACACTTGGCGCGCTCCCAAGAACCCTAATTTCTGTATGTTTGAAAAAACGAATATTTTGTGTTAACTAACCTGTGCTTAAAAGGTTTCAATCATAACCCAAGGCTATGGATGGCCTGGAACAAGCGTTTGAATGGATCCAGGCCAAGGGCGCGCGGGCCACGCGCGCCGACTATGCCTCGCTGCTCAAGCGCTGTGGCGTCGCTAGGGTTCTAGATTTCGCCAGGCGCGCCTACGAATCCATGGCGCGCAGCCGGCACCACGACGAGCTCTCCCTCCGCAATCTCTCCATCGAGATGTTTGGCAAGTGCGGGGACATCGAGGTGGCCAGGGAGATTTTCCACGGCCTGTGGCGCCCAAATCTCTTCTCCTGGACGATGATCCTGGCGGCCTGCGCTCGCAATGGCCGGAATCTCGAGGCGCTGCTGCTCGTCCGCCGGATGATTGGCGAGGGAGCGCGACCGGATGTGGTGTGCTTCGTGACGATCCTGGATTTGTGCGCGGCCACGGCGGATTTGGAGCAAGGTAAGGTCGCTCACGCCTGGATTCTTGCCTGTGGTGTGGAGTCGTCTAGTAGGGTTCTTGGCAATGCGCTGATCAACATGTATGGTAAATGCAGGAATCTGGATCTCGCTAGAGCGCAGTTTGATCGGATGGAGCACCAAGATCACGGGAGAGATGTTGTGACTTGGAACTCGCTGCTTGCGGCATTTACCCACAATGGGTATTTGGAGGAGGCTGCTCGGTTGTTCCAAGAGATGGAAGTCGAAGGGATCAAGCCCAGCAGCGTGACTCTCACATGTGTTCTTGAGTCTTGTAGCGGCGATCGCCAAGGTAAGCTCTTTCACGATCGAGTTCTCGATCTCGGACTCCAAGGGGACGAGTTTCTCATGAATTCTCTCGTGAAGATGTATGCCAGGTGTGGGAGACTGGAAGAGAGCAGGCTGGTTTTCCGAGCGATCGATCAAAAGGATATCATTTCCTGGAACGTGATGATCTCGCTGGAAGCTCGGCTGGGAAGCAGCGAAGAGGCGGTTGAGCTGCTGCGAGAGATTGATCTGGAGGGATTTCCAGAGCCGGACGAGGTAACTTTTATCAGCGTTGTCGACGCTTGCTCTTGCCTGGGAGACTTAGATCTGTGCTTCACCATCCAGGAGCTCGTTTCCAGCGCTGGCTTTGACGACGATCTCCTCCTTGGCAACGCTGTTGTCAACATGTTTGGGAAGTCCGGCTGCTTGGATGCTGCTCGAGCAACTTTTGATCGATTGCCAGTCAAGAATGTGGTCTCCTGGAACTGCTTGATCTCGGGTTACGCGCAGAACCTCCAGGGAAGAAGATGTCTGGAGCTTTTCAGGCAGATGGATCAAGAGGGTGTCAAAGCCAACTCGGTCACCTTTGTCAGCCTTCTCGACGCGTGCTCTACAATCCCAGCTCTTGACTTTGGACGAGAACTCCATCTCCGGATCACTGCTGCCGGATTGGAACTACACACGGTGGTGGCGACTGCGCTGATCAACATGTATGGCAAGTGCCAGGAGCTCCAACTCGCACAAGAACTACTCGAGAGATACCAGTCGACGGGACTAGTGGCTTGCAACGTCATGATCTCGGCGTATGCCCAAGTTGGGCATAGCGAGAGAGCTATGGAGTTTCTCCAAGGAATGGATCTCGCAGGTGTCAAGGCCGACGTTGTGACTTACATTGGAGCGCTCGAGGCGTGCGCTTGCTCCAAGGATTTTTCCAAAGGTCAGGCTGTCTACGATCGGGTTGTGAGCACCGGCTGGATCTCGCAGCTCGTCATTGCAAACTCGGTGATCAACATGCTGGGAAAGAGTGGACGGGTTTTGGAAGCCGCCATTGTCTTCGATCGGATGGAAAAGAGAGACAGCGTCACGTGGAACGCGATCGCTGCTGCATATGCCCAGAACGGGCATCCGCTGGAAGCGCTGGAATTGTTCTGGAGAATGCAGCAGCAGGGTGTTCGAGCACAGGAGGCGACGTTTGTGACGATCTTAGATGCTTGCGGCGATTCCAGCTCGTTGCTCGCCCATGGTCGATCGATCGCGAAGCTGAGTTCTTGGACGTCCGACGCGATCAAAGGGGCGCTGCTGGGAATGTACTCCAAGTGTGGCTGCGTGGACGACGCGCTGGCAGCGCTCCAGAGCTTGTCCTCGCGGGGGCTGCTGGCGTGGACGTCCATGCTGGCGGCCTACGCCCACGTCGGACGCGCCAGCGAGGCACTGCGCGTGCTCGGGCAAATGCAGCACGATGGGGTGGTGCCCGACGACGTGGCATTTTCTGCCGTGGTGTTTGCATGCAGCCACGCTGGACTCCTCCACGAGGCGCTCGTACGGCTGGCGTGGGTGTCCGGGGATTACGGTACGGCCATGGGCGCTGGGCTGTACGAATGCGTTGTGGATGTGCTTGCACGGATGGGCCGGCTCCAGGAGGCCGAGGAGCTCATGCACGCGATGCCGTACGAGCCCGATAGTTTGGCCTGGATGGCGCTTTTGGGCGCGTGTACAGTCCACGGTGATCTGGAAAGGGGGGCTCGTACGGCGGGACACGAGGCATTGTTGGATTCGGGCAGTGGGCGATATGTCTTGCTATCCAATATGTACGCCTCATGGGAGGATTGAACGGCCGGGATCTCCGGGAATGGACGGTGATCTCTGACGCTGTTGGAGTAGGAATATCTTGGGGAGATTTTTTCCGATGTGGATAAACTCTGTAGCACAGCTGTGAACAATATTCGCGATAATTGTTTGCCCCTTGCTTACGTGTCGTAACCTTACATGCTGTCACGAGTTTGACCTTTTTAACCACGTGGTAAAAAAGTGTTGTGGCTTTGGTTTGGTGGCACTAGCTACTAGCGAGCAAGGCTAGCATGGGACGAGCAGCTAGGGTTCTTCGAGGAGGGAGTGCAATGCCGGGTTTGTCGATCGACGTAGCCAGCTGGGAGCTGTGATCGTGAGCGGCGCATTCGCCATTCGTCTTTCCATGGGACTGGAGTTGTGGCGCCTTCGTCTATCGGTGGATTCGGCATCCAGATTGTGGCTGGCGCCACCGGGGAATCAAAATTTCGAGCTCAGGCACGGGGATTACGATCCTTGGAGGCGATGTCGAAGAAATTCCAGGCGATTTATTTGCTGCCGAGCGAGGAAGAGTCAATTCGAGGGTGGCAGCAAGGATTTGCGAGGCGGCGGCATCGAAATCCCGAGTTCTCTCCAGATTCTCAAGAGGAGAAACCGACAAAAGAGCCAGATACCTGGTCCCGGGGAGCTCGATGGCGGTAATCTGGTGTCGAGCTCGATCAAGAAGGCGTTTTCATCCATGGTCTTCATGCTCAAATCGATGCACCGGTTCACTCTGGAGATGCTGTGCTGCGATGAGAATTCCGTGCTCAACGAAGTGTGGAGCTTGGTCCAGCGAGAGATGCACTCCTCGTTCCTGTGGCTGTTCCAGCAGGTATTTTCCTCCACACCAAAGCTCATGGTCTCGATCATGATCCTCCTCGCGAACTTCACAGTCTACTCCATGGACAGCTCCATCGCAATTCACTCACCAATTGTGCCAAGCACAGCGCTGGATCGCCCAGCTGCTCCAGCAGCAACAGTGATGTGGAGCTCTCCAGCTACAGAAGTTCCGGGGTATCTAAACTTTTTTGACGAGGCTGCAATCGAGAGTAGCGGAGGATCAAAAGATGGCGGAGGAAAGCTTAGAACTCTTATAGCCGGGGGAACTGATGGGGGGGATGAGTTTCCTCTCTCCCGGCGGGGGAGAACCACGATGATGAGAGACGATCAACTGGCAGCACCAGGGAATCTTAGCAGGAACCAGCAGCTAGCAGTGATGAAATTCCTCCAGCAAGTTCCAGTTCCAGCGAAAGTTACCAAGGAATCGCTGGTTGCTCCAGTGAGCGCAAAGCTGGAGCCCGACAACTACGAGTGCTTCGACCGGACGGACCTTCTCTACCAGCAGGCATTGGGCGAGGACCGAAAGAATCCACTGATTCTAGCCAACTACGCGCAGTTCTTGTACGTTGTTCGCCACGATCACGACAGGTACGTGGGAGTTCTTACTTCGATCGAGATGGTGAATGAAAGTTTTTGGATTGAATTGGCAGAGCTGAGACGCTGTTTCGATTGGCGATGGAGGCCGATCCCTCCGACGGTGAATCGCTCAGCCGATTCGCGAGCTTCTTGTGGCTCGCTCGAGGTGACAAGCAGGGCGCGGAGGATGCGTACAAAAATGCCATCGCGTCCGACCCCGCGAATCCATTCCACTTTGGAAGCTACGCACACTTCCTGTGGCACAGTGAGAGTTGATGTGCCATGATAATGTTGATATATATACACCGTTGATCTCGTGAAAGTGTTCTTGATCCGACGGCTAGGATAGAGCTGGGTGCTCATAAAGCTCGCAAGTCAAATCTTTGCCCCGGCGAGAAAATGAGGGTTTTTCGGCGCCGTGGGGAGAATCGCGCGGTGGAATTCGATGCCGCGATCAGGTACCTAGCAGATCGTTTCTCGCCTGCGCTGCGGCGAGGTCTCGTGGATCTGGCGATTGTTTAGGGCGGAATTTCGGTCCAGGAGCTGGATTCTGGTAGCTTCTGGTTCTAGAGTGGCAGGGAATGGATTTGGGAAGCTACATTGAGGTGGCTTTGGGATGGAAATTTTGCGGCGTAAGAGCTCCCGGCGGCTGGATTATTTCTCGCGTATGAACATGACAGAAGGTCGTGGCCGTCACAATGGAGCTCACTCCACTAAAATTCTTGCTGCTGTTCTTGCTACTGGCTGTCGTGGGCTACGTTGTTTTCACGTAAGTCACAAGGAAGATTTCATTCTTATTATTCACTTTTCTCTGTTCAAATTTATCATCAGTTGCACAGCACGTCTTGTTGCATGGGTGGTGAGCAGAATGATCGGTGGCACTGTACGATTCCGCATTGCTGGAATAAATGGGATCAAAGAAATCTCCATCGATCTCCATAAGGTGATGTTTGCGACTTGTCCCGCGTAGATTGCTCTAAGCGATGAACTTGCAGGGACCGGTGGCTTATCTCACTGTCAGCGAGCTCAAAGTTTCTGTGAAAAAGCCTCCGGGCACAACTGGCTGGAACATCCTATCTTGGAGCTCCAAACTCCAGTTGATCATTTCTGACGTTGAGGTGGTACTCAGAAAACACAAAAGTTCCAGACCGCGAGGAAAGAAAAGACACAGGCACAATTCTACTGGTCGCGGAATATGGATGGTGGTGACCAACGTTGCCAAGTACCTCAGCGTCTCAGTGAATGAGATAGCGGTCAAAACTGTGGAGGTGGTAGTAGAGTTTTTTCTTCTATCAAACTGGGTTTCGCTGTTTTGCAGACCGCGACGATAACGCTGGATGTTAAAGAGCTGGAAGTGGATACTTTCCGGGACGATGCTGCTGTTTTTTCTCTCGGAGTGAAATTTTATCTTGCACCAATCGTTTTATATCTCGGTGAAGATAAGCGATTGACAGATGCTCCTGGGATTTTTCGACCACTGAGAAAGATTGAAGCCAACGGAGACTTTTATTTCTCGCTGGAGCATCTCTCGGTGTCAGGAATTATAGATCACGACAGGTAATCTTGATAATTGAGTTTGTAAAATCTAAAAAAGAGTAGCGTTGCATCGATGACAGAGAAGCAGGGATGGTGATCAAACAGTTGGAGGCAGGATGCGGTGAGGCTATACTTAACGTAAGTGCCGAGTCGATGCCTCGAGGCCCTCTGGAAACTGTGTCGGATACAGATCCTCAGGAGATTCCTCATATAGAAAATCACGAGTCTCGAGAAATACACCCCGAGTACGAAGCAAGAATTTTGGCAAGAAAGATCCCGGAGGCGGTGAGCTCATTCATACCCTTCTGTGTTCCATACTAACGTTGACGCTTATCCTAGATCAACTTCAGTTTGCCCAAGTTCACTATCGAAGCGAAAACTTCCTCCGGATTAGCTTCATTTAAGAACGAGATTAAGGGTATTTTTCTGCATGGAAGCAGATCCAGCCCACTCGATAACGTGGGCGTTATTTCGTTGCTTGACATTGAAGTAGACTTGGGCGAGATTCATGTAAGCAGTTCATTTGATGGTTTATTGTACTTCATATCTCGTCTTACACAGGTTTTTCAAGATGAAGAAAGTTCCGTGCTCGATATCATGAAGGTCTCTGTCAATGTTTCTGTGGAATTCCCTACGCAGGTAACAAGTTGATTGTTATCTTACTTTCGACCTTCCTTGAGTTCTACTTTTCCAGTTGGTTCGGCCATTGCGAGTGGAAGTAGATGTGAAGCTGGGAGGGACGCAGGTCAACTTACATATGAGCAGATACGACGAGTTTATGCAGCTTAAGTCGTTTCGTCCTGTAAAGAAGAAGAGAAGGAGCTCCTCGACTGCGCCGACTCGGAAAATGAGCATATCATGGAGCTGTAGCATTTCAGCTCCTGAGATGGCGATTTTCTTTTATAGCCTCGAGCGATGGGCCTTTATGCACGTAAGTACGTTTGCTTTCAAAGATGGAATTGCAACTGCTTAACTTTCTGTAACAGGTTTTTTCTCAAACTTCTCATCTGTACATCAACATCATACCAAGTCACGGTGTTGTTGTTCACGCTGAGCTGGGCGAGCTTTACCTCAACAGGATTGAAAAAGGGATGAGAGTTCCGACGGAGTTTCTGGTTGGTGTCGAAGGCGGTTCTGGCTGCGTTCTGCATTTATCCCGCATAGCCGTTGACAGTGGTGTAGAAGGAGCAGGGGAAACTCCGGCAGTGACGGTTGAAGCAGGTGCGACCGAGGTGTATATTGGTATGCTCAACATCAAAGCTGCTTTATTCGCTCTCGCTTCGATTAAATCTTGCCTTAAGGACAGGAGGACTGGAATTACCAAAGAAAAGGAACGTCATAAACGGGGTACTACAATTAAACTCCAGCTTGAGCAGCTAGTTTTTCATCTTGAAGAGCAGATGCACGTTGAGGACTCGACTGTTTCTGATCCGAAGAAAGTCAACTTTGGTAGCCAGGGGGGGATAGTGATCATCACAAAGCAGGAGGATAATCTGCGGACTGCCCGGGTCAAGCCCGTAGCCTTCAATCAAACAAGTTCGTCGGGAGTGAAGCAGAAGCTGACCGTCACCTTCTCTCTCATCGTCGTTTCTCTCGATCGCGAGAAGAAAACTACACTTCTGGAGCTTGAAAGTGGTCGAATGCTTTACGAGGAAGTAGGCGCAGATGAGAAAAACGTCGCCGAAAAGACGCTGCTGGCAATGCACGCTGTCAAGCTTATTCACAGGCCTGCGAAGCTAGCGAACGACGTCGTCATGCACTTCCTTCTGAGTGCACGGAATGTTTCACTCCACTGGGATCCAGACGTGCACTTGTTTTTCTACCAGCTGAGCCTCGGGGTGAAAGAGTTATTGCGCAATCGTGGCGCTGCCAAGAATCCCAAGAAGGCTGCTACTTCGAAGTCTAAAGCTTATTATGCCGTCGACATCGAAGACATGAACATCAATGCTGAACTGGCTGATGGAGTTGAAGGTTCGGTTCATATACAATCTCTTTTCTCTGAGGATGCGGTTGTGGGGATGCTCTTTGAGACCGTGGAAGTAGCTTTCAACAAAGCTGCTGTAGCCAGGATTGATCGACTCCAGGTTTCGCGAGTACCATCACTACTTCAAGAGCAGGATATGTCGAGGGGAAGACAGCTTTGGGATATCGTTATACACGGGGCTGGCGTACTTATTATTATGCCATACAGGTTACCTCTTCGTGCTATCGACGACGCTGTTGAGGAGACTTGGAGAGGCTTGAAACTTGCAATGGTTGCAAAGAGAAACTCGATGCGTCGGACGAGTATGCCAGAATTTTCGAAACCAAAGGACAGGCCTTCGTTCCAACTGCATTCTATGAAGCTTCACGTCCGCGGTATAAAAGCAGAGATAGAAGAAGAACCTCTCCAAGGTTGGTTAGACGAGCATCATCTTCTTCTTCAACAGCAGTGCCGTGTACTTCTCGTTCGGGAAAAGCTTCTGGAAGAGTCGTATGCAAAAGTACAACTTACGAAGCAGGAAAAGCGGAAAATGTGGGAGCAGCTGCAGGAACAATCGTTTCAGGAATATAGGCGGGCTTGTTCCAAGCTCATTCCTAGTCGAGGGTCAGGGGCTTGTGGCACAGGATTTCAAGCGAAGTTCAGAACAAGTGTCAGGAGAGCTTCCTTGATGTCTATTTCGGCAGAAACTCTGGAGTTCACGCTGACGAGAATCAAAGGAGGCAGATCTGGAATGATTGAAGCGATACGGAGACTTGACTGCGTGCAGCCGGACGTGCAAGTTCCATTTTCAAGACTCTATGGCGGGCACGTTATATTCGGAATGACATCACTTGCGATCTGTCTTCGAGATTATACGCCTATGCTTTCGGCATCTTCTGGAAGGTGCGAAGGGATCGCCATCTTTGCTCAGCAGGTACCAGACTGTAGTTTAGTTGTGATGTTTTCCAACCTTCTCTTCCTTGCAGGCAACATGTTTCCAGAAGCAGATGGTGCAACACCTATATGTCGGCCGATGGAGAGCTGTCGAGATGCTGCGTTCCATGAGTGGCACGACGCCATCGTATAAGTTCTACAGCGAGCTGCCTATTGAGCTTACTACCGCGAAAGTGTGTTACGGTGTCGGTTTTGAACCTGCCTTCGCCGACGTGAGCTATGCCTTCACTGTTGCTCTACGGAGGTACAACCTCAGCGTGAGAGAGGAACTGGTACACAGACCCCCGCTCGTCAAAAAGGAGAAAAACTTGCCTTGGTGGGACGACATGAGATATTACGTCCATGGGTTCAACAGCATCACCGTTTCCAATTTCGAGTGGAATTTTTTAGCGACAACGGATCCTTACGAGACTCAGAACCGGATGCATATGATCTCGAGTACGATGGTTATCAGCCAGGCTGAAGGATCGCTTTCATTCCAGGGGGACAACTTTGATATGTACATATCCAGCTGGGAGGCACTGGAGAAACAGCACCAGTTCATCCACGCTCCGGTCTTTCAACTCGTCATTACTATGGACTGGACTTGTGCGTCGGGTGCTCCTTTATTTCATTATCTTCATGCGTTTCCCATCGAGCAGCGTTCGCGAGAACTAGTTTATGATCCGTTCCGCTCACTCTCCTTGTCGCTGATATGGAGTTTCTCTCTTCAAGCTTATGCTCCAAAAGGAGAGAGTGGGATTAGCATGAGGAGAAACAGGACAGGCCAGAAGTTTTCTTCGCCTTCACAGCTACCAGGTTCTTGTCGAGTCGACGTTCCTTATATGAACCTCAGCGCACAGGATCTTATGTGGGTGTTCAA